CTAAATCCTACTGTGTCAGGCCTTACCCCAATTGCCCAGAAAACTGTTATTCTCTCTGACCTCAAATTAAGAAGAAAGTTAACACAGGGATGAGCTTTTGGTGTTCTTAGCTTATCATTCAGTGCTAGTCAGAAGACCAGAGGGGCTGTGCAAGGGTAAGGCGGGGGCACGGCCCGGACTCCCGGCAGGGACGGATGCACAAACACAAGGCACACCAGGGTCGATACTGCGCGTTTATTACCTCTGCGTCTGGGCGGGGGTTCCCCAGCGATTTCCCGATCGAGGCACTAATGGAGCGGGAGAGTCCCTGGCACCGCTGAGCGTCGGTCCAGGGCGAGGAACGCCGGGGGGGCACTATGTGAGGTTTTTATGGACGGCACACATGCGCAGCAAGCACATTGAGCTCATCGCTGCTTCCGATTCAGAGCCCAGGTGCAGCGCCACACTGGCACGGGCTCGGCCGTGTGACTGTGGGTCAGCGTGCCCAGCGGATGCTCCTTTTCCCACGGGACGGTCTGGCTAGCTTCCATCGCCTAGCTCCTCGACCTTCCTCCGCGTTTTCCCGTACACTCCACCCCCAAGATGGAAAGCTAGTTACAGGCCGTCCCAAGTTTCAGAAGGGCACAGGGTATGAGGGCAAGGGAGTTTGCAAAGCAAAGAAATCAAAACATAACATAATACAAAGCAAAGATAAACAAGCGTCCTCCTTGTATGAGGTGGCCCAGCCATCCCGTTAGGGAGCCAAACCAATTAGCCAGCCAGGCATCTCCATTATTCTGTCAGATATGTTGGATAATATCTGGTAAGTAGCTGACATCATTCTCAATAGACGCTGATTCATCAGTGATGTTAAAACAGCCCAGCCTGGCGAAGTCATGACATCTGTGGTTATGTCGCAGTAGGAGACAGTCAATCACTAGACAGCTTTGCAGTGTTCCTTGCCGTACTGCTCTCAGTTCTTTATTTAGAGAGGCAATGGCTCTAGATGCCCAATTTAAGCCTTGAGCTAAAGCACAGGCAACATGCTCTAATTGTAATTATGCGCCACCACCCCCAGGATCCCAGCTAGGCTTAACAATAGGCCTAAGGCTTCTGCATGAGAAAATAAACTTACATGGGGGTTACAACTGGCATCTAGGATATGCCGTGGGGTCCTTCACTGCTCTGTCACAAAGCAAAGGATGGTTAAAGTAACACAACCTACAGCGCATGGGCCACCGGTGATGCTGGCCAGCACATATGTATATGCTGCAGTGCCCCACAGAAGGAACCATCCTGGTGGTAGCATCAGGTGAGCAGACACATAGGCAATATTCATAGTGTCATTACAAATTAACTGGGTATTGGTTACGTTCCGCAGAACAGAGGTAGCATTTACAAAGCAAAAGCAAATACCTGCTTTAGATAGGTTAGCTATACGAAAAGAGTAAGTCCAAGGTGTCAGATTTTGGGAAACAATACCCAAATTGCATACATTCATGGGAATAACAGAAATATCAAAATCTTTCAGAAAAGTGTAACTCGGCAATGCCACGAGCGGAGGTGGCACACCTATGTAACACGTAGTTAAGACATCATCCACTGATCGTCCTCCTGCAATACAGAAAGCAGAGAGGTTAGCTGATCTTTGTGCGAGCCAAATCCATGTATTCACATGGGAAGCTGGATGGTCTTGTGGATCAATGGCATCTGTCGT